AGATGAACTAAGCTAGTTCGGCTTGGGCTTGGTGGAAGCCAAAGGCAGTGTCTTGCCTTTCAGTTGAGCATCTCATTCTCCATATTACCATGAGGAGAGCAAGCCTCATGTGCTTGATGAAAAGGTGACCACCCTGTCGGATAATCCACAGGCTTGCCCAGGAGGATAAGACCAATGTTCCATTGGAAGGTTGATCCAGTTATGTCATGCCACAATGCATCCCACCATTGCCCCACCTGCACCACCATCGGGCATGCCAGAAGGCAGTGTTCCAAATCAGCACATCTGCGTTGTGTGGTAGGGCCGCAGTGGGAGCAAATAGGAGACAGGAAACCTGCTTGCTCCAGGTTGGACCTTGAAGTTGAGGTTACACAGACCGGTGTCGGAAGGCATCGGTGTGTGATCTGCGATTGCAGCCCTCGGTGAGATGTTGGCATAATGTGTGCATAGGTGGCCCAATGCATACGATGTAGATTCATTTCGTCTACTGGTGAGTCCCTTTTCCACCGGTTTTGCATTTCTCTTCCTTTTTTGTAACTTTCATGGGTTTATGGCGAGAGGCATAAAGGACAAGGATGGGTTTGTTTATAGGAAGCAGGCGAGAATGGATAGATCAGAGATGTGCAGCTAGAGATTCAGATTCCTCCTTTGGTGGATTTTCGCAAGTTGAACCATCCACGATGACCTTTTTTCTGGCCGCAGTTGGGATGGGCTTGGCCAGGAGTGCCTTGCCGAGCCCAAACGACCGCGGCATAAATGTAAGGGACGCAGGACCCAATTTCCAGCATATAATTGAATGGGTTTTTATTTATTTTTTTCAAGAGGAAGCTAGGCTCAGTCAGGCCAAAAAAAAAAAAAAATAATAATAATACTCCTTTGACCAGTTAAGTTAGATGCTTACTGCCGCTATTTGGACATCTACTGAACCGAAATGGGCACGCCCTACTGGGTTCCCACGGAAAACAAAATCGTATTGGTTTTTGGAACTTTTTTCTTTTTTTTATCAATCTAGGTGAGTGCGCCAAGGTTGGAGAAACGGCGAACCGATTGGAATTGGAATCGGCCGTGTAGTCCAAAGGCTTCAGATTTTTGTAGAAGCTTCTTGGAAACGTAGATTAGAATCGGACTTGTGAAACCCCACGCCGCAAGAGTCTTAGGGGGTAGGGACAATAGAGGAGACATGGAGGAAGATAGGTTGGAGAAGGAGAGTGACGGTCCAAGCCCAAGGATACAGAGTGGGGATTGAGGATTAAAAAGGGTTGGTAGCCATCTGAGAAAGGGCTGGAGGACTAGAAGACAAGACGAGATGACAAGGCATCAAAGGCGAGGGGGGTGATCTCTCTCGAGGTTAAACGGTTACATCTGGCAGATCTAGAAATCAGGTCTGAGAGGAGAGAGGAGGGAAGGGCAAGCTGACAGTCAATCCTCCACCATGGTGGAGCAATCAATGCTGTTCAGGGGTCCTTCGGCCAGACGGAAGGAAGCGTATGTGTGTTCCTCATGTTGTATTCTTTCATTCTGACTTGCCGGTGGAATAGGAACCGGACTGGCGGTGGAATAGGAACCGGACTGACGCTCCCCAGAATGGAAATGGAGCCAGGGCCACAAGGCCCTGTTTTGAAAAAAAAAAAAAAAAAAAAAAAAAAAAAAAAAAAAGAAAAGAAAAAGAAAAAGAATCGGACTTGTGAATCGATATGGACAGGTATTCTAGAAACTTGGACGGACCCACTGTTCCCTACGTCAAAGGACGGAACGACTTGGATTGACGAGCGCATAAAGTGGTGGGCCCCACAGAAAATTGTGCGTCACTCACGTGTGTGCTGCGCACATCCACCTAGCTCAACAGTTTATGGGAGCAGCAGGCCCGTGATTCAGACGCATGTGACCAATATGCAAAATCGCTTCACTAATTTGATATCTTTGATTGTCCCAATGGGCTGTGCAGAATATCAAATCGGTTCATTGTTGGATGAAATGTGGTTTTGGCAATTACACTACTTTTTTTTTAGGAATTTGTTAAATCAATCTGCCTAACTCTATCATGCGTCCAAACTGTTAAATCCGTTTGTCCAAAATGCTCATCATTTCTCCCAACCTATATCCGGTATGTCCAAAATGATACTCGGGGGATACCATTATGCCACACAGGTTTAAAGTTCCGTTAATGTTCCGTTAAACTCAACATTGAGCCACATTGGGCTTTGAACTCTTTCTCCTTTTTTTTCCAACCATCTTAACCCTGCGGCAGGGCTGGTCCCCGGTCGGACCGGGGACCCGTCCCCCGCCCGGGAGCCTGCCTGTCGGACCGGCCGGTCGACCGGCCCTGCAGACCCCCAGTCGAATTCAGTGCATTAGGTTGGACGGGGGGTACCGGGCAGAGACAGGCATTCCCACGACTGCCCAGCCCCCAGTGCCCCCACGAGGGCGCAGCCTCCTTCAAAAAAACAAATTGGGGCATTTCGGGCCCCACTTCTAGAAAGCAACGAGTGGAGGATCTCCGCTGGTCATCTTTGCAGATCAGCGGCGAACAACCGCCGCGCGCGTTTTCTCAAACATTAGGGGCTCACCAGGCCTCATATTTCGATTTGGCATGGTGTGGTCCGACAGACCATGGACCAGGCGTCATTGGCATGACATACTCATCCATCCTCAGCCACGAGGGAATTACTATGCATGAGCAACGGCTCTCCTGAGGTTATATGCTTCTGCAACATCACAAAGCTCTGGGGAACGAGTTATGGGTTTGGGTTTTGGCTCTGTCTGAGGTGCAAGCCCAAGAATGGACCTAAGCTATATTTTCCTCTCACTCAATCTAGAATGGACCTGGCTCCACGCAGTCTGTCCTGCGTATGTAAAAAAAAAAAAAAAACATGTATCTGACAGACTGGCACTCGAGATACGTTCGGACTGAGGACACTGATGACCCAGCGTATGTAAAAAAAAAAAAAAAAACAAACAGAAAACGCTCTGCCTGCACGAGCGGAAACCTGCACCCATAACTTTTCTGCCGTCGAGATATAGTCTGGAAAAACTACAAGTTTTGGAAAGGATCCACTCCTATCACGTCTCGTTCAGGCTGCAGGATTCTGATGGCCGTTGGCAGAGTCCAGAGTGCCCTCTGCTACTGAATTGAAGCTCTTGGGGCACGAGGGGTCTAATAAGTAACCTTGCTTACTCGACCCCTCCCCCTGAAAGTGACACCTCCGTGAATATCCCAATAATATCCCGACCTCCCCCTGGGACACCCCCCAAAAAAAATTGGACCTTCAAAATTTTATTACGGATTTCGACAGCTCTTGAAGAGCGCAGTCAGAATCCGCCAAAAAAAAAAGAAAAAAAAAAAGGGAGAGAATTAGGCTTTATTTTTCGAAAACCGGTTTCCCGGTTCACCCCCCCTGGGCTGGTCTGCCTCCGGTTCGACCGGGCAAAAGCTGAACGGGCCGGTTGCCGGCCCGGCCCAGCCCTGCCCTGCGGCCTATTTTCTCCGGAAGAAATTTTCCGCACGGAGTACAAATGAAACCTGCGGATATTCGGCCGCAGGTTTCAGAGGAAGGGTCCCAGTACTGGTCGTGGTTTAATTTCATTCCATCTCAGGTGATGGTTCAAACTACGTTGATGAGGTTGAGCGCGAGCTGCCCCCATTCCCCGTTTGCCATAACAGCCCACTTGCACTCTGTGGGAAAGAGGCAGAGTCAAGGGAGAGGTGTTAAACACAAGGAAGAGAGGAGCAGAAAAGGAAAACCGATAGGCAAAGGGAAGGTGACACAACTTCTTCGCCTTTCTTTTACTGTATTCTTCTTTCTTTTACTGCGTTCTTCTTTCTTTTACTGTGTTCTTCTTTCTTTTACTGTGTTCTTCTTTCTTTTACTGTGTTCTTCTTTCTTTTACAGTTTTGCAGTTTTGGTGAAGGGTCTCCCTTCTATACTTTTTATTCTCATTTTCACCCTTCTGACCTTTTCTTTGAGGGTGGTAGGGTGCAGGGTACAAACAAAGTAAGATGACACAAACTTCTTCTTTCTTTAACTGCATTCTTCTTTCACAGTCTTGCAGTTTTAGTGAATGGTCTCCCACTTCTGTACGCTCTTTTCAGCGCACCTGCACCTTTTTGTCAAGGTGCAAGCCATTGCAAGTTTTTTTTTTTTTTTGTCAAAAAAATAATTTTCTTTTTGGGCCTGGCTGGGCAAGTTGTCCCCGGCCGCTCTGGGGTAGCCTAGAGTGCAGGTGATTGATATCTGGCAAAGCTAGTCTAGGGATTTCTCGATGTGATTCCGTTCGGTCAGCTCCTTCTGCGAATCTGCTTTCGTTCTTTTTCGTGGCAAAGGGTCTCTCTGACTTTGCAGAGGGCTTTGCAATTCCTAGACTGAAACACCCTCTACACAGTCTGCACAAAGTGTCGAACACGGACGCATGCAGTGTCATACACAAAAAAAAGTAGAACCCATTAATGAGACCAGGTCCCGACAAGGCAGTGACGGAGGTTGGAGAACGAGGACTTGATTTTTCTTCATACCCAGCAATATCCACAGTGCCCCTCCTCCCCCTCCCCTCTCTCGGGGCGGCTCACAAATTGGGTGCCGAGAACTGTTTCTTTCCGAGGGGAGGTGTCCGAGAGTGGGCTGGCCATAGGCAAGAATGGGAAATGGGCAAAAAAAAAGGGGGGAGGAGGGGAGGGGGGAAGGGGGAGGTGGGCAGTTGAGAAGGGGGAAGGGGGAAGGGGCTTCCCTGCAAACACACAAGGCACAGGCCTCAGCAGCATCGTCCTCTGCAAAACCCTGAAGTGGTCCCGCTGGCCATGCGGGGATATGACTATCTGACCGGATGCAGACGAAACTTGCGAGGTTGGTCGTACACAAATAGCTGATGAAAAGGCACACGTGATTGAATCGCCCCTTTTTTTTTTCAATTGATTAAAAAATGAAAAAGAGGGGGAAAGGGATGAAAGAGCAAAAAAAAAAAAAAAAAAAACAGAAGGCGCAGAACAGAGAATCTGAGATAAACCATAACAATAGCTTATCAACTTATCACCCACAAGCATTGTTACATCTCAACATGCTTCCTTTTATTCTTTCTTTCACTTTTCGTTGCGGCGTCATCAAATTCTTCCCCCTTCCTCTTCCTCTTCTTAATTTTCTCATCCCTCTCCTCCCCGCCTTCCTCACCATCTCCAGAGCCTGCGATCCACTTCGGAGGCGCGCCAAATCTCACCATTCCTTGCAGGTGTTCATGTGCTTTCTTCTTCTTCTTCTTCGGCTTGCCACCGTCTTCGGGAATGCGGCAATCAGCCTCTGCACCATTCTCGACCGTCGATTTCACCTTTGTGCTTCCCGGTTGCTCCTGATCCAGTGGATGATCTGCAACCTTCTCAGCTGTTCTGGGTAACCCATCTGCCCTCAGACCACCAACTGCTCCCTTCTGCTTATGGTTTTCATGTGAGATCGGAGCATCCGTCTGTTCGTCCTCGAGCGCCTCCGAGTTGCCTCCTCCTCGTGGCAATCCCGCCAACCGTGCTTCTTTCCCATTGGCTCTGGCAGCAAAATCATCAAGCGTAGGACGGGATCCGAACTCCCTACCTAATGGAGGAGGAGGGAGAGCTTCGTTCTGCTTCGCCTCCATCCTTCGCCGCTTTTCTTCTTTCTCCTTCCTCTTCTCTTCCTTCCGTTTCCGCTTTTCCTCTTTTCTCCTCCTCTTTTCCTCACTGCGAGACAGATCTGGTATTGGCAGCAAGCTGAAACCAGACCAAGACCAAGCAGACGCTTCTCTCAGTCACTTGCCAACTGCAATCACTATCCGGAAAACAAAGCGCGCCAAAATTAGACGCAGGGAGTAATGGATCGGTGAAAAAAATTTGCATGCGTAAACAAATACCACAGACACAAAACGATGTAACAAAACGAAAGAAGCAAAGAAGGAAAAAAAAAAAGCGAGAAAACCGAAAGAACGTTCTCCGGGCCATCCATTGAAATTGGACAGCACAGATAAGATTCGCATGGCCCCTGCGCAAGAGCGACACACTTAAGTCGAGAAATGGTCCTTTTTTTTTTTTTTTTTTTTTTTTTTT